GCGGGTGGCTCCCTGAGGCACTGCGTGCGATTTGGTGTCTCTCTGACCCCGAGACTGTCCTGGGCTGCGGTGTGGCCAGTGGGGGCTCGGCAGGCCCTGGGGGAGTGTCACAGGTGCTTTTGCTGCCGCTCCAGGACCAGCTCTGAGTCCCTGCTGGGTCCAGGAGGAAGCACCTTGGGGTTGTTTCCGTGCAGGGAGACGCTCACTTGGGGCCAACCCCACGGTGGGGCCTCCTTGGAGGAGAGGGGTCCGCGTTTGGCAGCGCTGCATGCCTGCTGTCAGCGAGGACTGTCCTTTCTGTCTCACAGGCCTCCTGATCACGTGCCACGTGGCCCACATCCCACTGCAGCCAGGATACAGAGAAGAGATGGTGCGGTACCTGCGGTCAGTGCAGCTTCCCGACGGCGGCTGGGGCCTGTAAGTGCGCTGTACTGTGTCAGCGTGTGTGTGTGTGAGCGCATGCGTGTGTGTGCATGTGTGCGTCAGGCTGTGTGGGGTGTGTGCACGTGTATGTGTAGGTGTGTAGGTACGCAGGTGTGTGTGGCAGATACATATCGAGTGCAGGCGTGTATTCATATACACACGTATGTACCAGTGGGCGGGACAGGTGTATGTTTGGGTGTGCACGCATCTATGCACATGTGCTCACACGTGTTTGCGTGTGCACATGCACCCAGGTGCACTGTGTATGGCTACTCACGTGTGCATGCCTGTGTGCATGTGTGTTTGTGTACACGTATATGTAGGTATATGGGGTGTTTGTGCACGTGTGCAGCTGTGGGTGCGTGTGAGCACAAGTGCTTGTACGTGCGTGTATGTGCGTGTACATGTGTGTGTGCCTGGCTGCTCTGGTGATGAACTAACGTCGGTTGCATAGCTGCCCTTGGGACTAGACCTGCTAACTCCCAGTGGAAATAGCCAGCAGATGCAGCTGGGCAGTCTCTGCCTGGGCGGCCTTGGACCTGCTTACTGGTCCTGGGAGGAATACGATCATGGACAATGGCTACTCCTGTGTTGTCACATTATGTCAGCGTTTAAGACTTTTTAACTGGGGCTTTGAACCAGTTTTTCCCAGTTGAGTCATGGCTGAAGAAGTGAAACCGGAACAGATGCGAATTTTAAAAATTTGGGTGAACCAAAACGGTAAAAGGAATGGAAAAAATTACAAGTTGAAGCCCTGCTAAAAACTTAACTCGCCCTCTTAGAAAACAAGGGCAGTGTGTGCGTTGCATAGCAACCAAGGCTCTTGCCAGTGGGATTTTGAACAGAGTTGGAAACAGCAGTGCACTGCTCAAACATGGCGGCCGACCACAGAGCTTTGAACGTGTGTTGTTCTCCACAGTCCTGCCAATGATCCCGTCTCCCACATCAGGCTCCTGAAAGGGCTCACCACACCTCTTCCAAGTCTCCTATTCGAGGACTTCCGCCCGTAATTTTTCCCATTCTGGTTGTCATTCTGGTTCACCCAAATTTTAAAAATTAGAGTCTATTCCGGTTTTGCTTTCTCAGCTATGACTGAGCCAGGAATAACCTTTCCAAAGCTCTGTCTATAACATTTCTATTTTCCTGAGGAAATTTCTGAGTGCTTTTCTTAGTTCCTTAGAAACAGTGTAAGTTTCATTTTCCCTACTCACCTCTCTGTGTTTGCAGGCACATTGAGGACAAGTCTACAGTGCTTGGGACAGCCCTCAATTATGTGTCTCTAAGGATCCTGGGTGTGGGGCCTGATGACCCTGACCTGGTGCGAGCCCGAAACATTCTTCACAAGAAAGGTGCGTCTTGCTGTACCGTACTAGGTCACAGTTCATGTCACTTTGATACAAGAGCTCTTGCACACAAGAAGCAGAAGGGCACCCTCCGGCTGACACAGTGGGAAAGGTGCCAGCGAGGAGGACATTACCACAGATGTGGGTGGGAGTCGTTCCACGTCATCAGCAGTCTGTAAACAGCACGAACAGACGAATCCTCACAAACAGCATGGCTGCTCGTGGGTGTGGGCCCCGGAACCTTCCCTTTTGGGGGTTGGAGGGCTCACAGCAGGCGAGCACATGGTTTCTGCAGGGTTGGTGCCGGTCAGAGCAGGTGACATGGAGGTGACGCGGGCTCCTCTCTGTCCCAGGTGGTGCGACACTCATCCCCTCCTGGGGCAAGTTCTGGCTGGCTGTGCTGAATGTGTACAGCTGGGAAGGCCTCAATAACCTGTTCCCGGAGATGTGGTACGTGTGACCCCGTGCCTTTGCCACCTCATGCGGGAGAGTCACAGAGCCTGGTCCCCCCGTCCCTGTTCCGAGACGGCGATCATGTGCTTACTCCTGCTCAGTGTCTTTGATGCTGCCCACTCTGTGGGGCTAGGGGGTGGGTGGGCTCTGTGGGTGGGGTGGGGTGGGGTGGCAGACCGGGGGTCCCCCAGGCCAACAAGATAGGGGGAGAGGACAGCGCTGTGAACTGTGTGCAGGACAGCTGGCGCCCTGGGGCCAATGGGGGCGCCGTGGGGTGTGTGGGGAGCCTGGGTGTTGTCAGGGGACGTGCGTGGTGGCATCCCCCAGTCGTGAGGACCTCCATGGTTGTGGAGGCAGAGGGGAGTGTCACAGCCCTGACAGCCTCAACGTTGTGGCATCTGCTGCCATTTGCTCTCACCCTGTCCTTTCTACTGGAGAGTTTTAATCCACGTTTCCAACGTCCACTTCACGCGTGAATACTTTGGAATGTTTCTTTGGTAGCCAAGACTTTTTGTTTTTTAAAAATAGAACCTCAGTGCTTTTATACAAGCAGCAAAGGTAGCGCTAATTCCCCATCATTTGGTTCACCTAACCAGTGTCTTGATACGTGAACATCTGATGGGCGCTGTGAATGTCTCCCCAGGAGACACCCCCGAACCTTGGCGGGGTGGGCTACCCTGGGAGCCGGGAGGGCGGGTTGGGGGTCTCCTCTGAGAGCCATGGGGGTGGAGGCAGGTCCCCCACTGGGAGCTGTTTAGGGGCTGTTCCTGTGTCAAAAGATGACTTGTGGGTGGTGGCCAAGGGGCTGGTTGGGATGAGGCTGAGCCTCTGCAGCCGCGTGGTGGTGACGGGGAGGGAGGAGGTGCAGATGCTCAGGTGGCAGAGGGATGGGCAGAGGCTGCCCACCTGGACGGCCACGTGGGGGAGGATGGGGGCGATGTCTGGCTGTCTGAGTGAGGGGCTCTGGGTAGGAGACCGAGTGTGAGCAGAAGCAGCAGTGGGAGTGCCAGGCGAGGCAGGACGGTGGGCCTGGCTGAGCTGTCCCAGGAGCGCGGGTTGGAGGCCTCGGGTGGGTGTGCCCGGATGGAGGACCAGAGCCCCCACATACCCTGACCCACAGGGGACAGCCCTTGTCAGGGGAGCACATGGGCCCTCGGGAAGGTGAGGGAGCCGCTGAGGTTGGATGCAGAGGCCACAGGGAAGCAAGCATGGGTCTGCCTGACCGAGGATGCCAGCGTGGCTGTGCCACCATCAGACCCTGTGGGGTTTGGGGCAGCACGCCAGCGGCCATCATGTCATGCTTGGGCTGTAAGGAAGGCGTGATAGTCCCCTACTGTATACGAACTCTTCGAATATCATGGTTTCTGATCGCCAGAGACGCTTCCCAGTGGTGCAGAGACCTGTAGGCCCCACACTGCCATTTCTTGTCACCACGGGCACTTGTCTCAACCGGGAGACCACAGACAGGTCTGGCTTCAGGTTCTGAAACTCCAGCTGAGCCAGGGCCACCGTGCTGCCTTGGGTCAGCCCTCTGCTCTGGGAGGGTGCCGCTGCGAGGTGGCAGGTCTGTGCTGGCCTGGGGGAGTGGCTGTGCCCAGTCCACGCAGGAAGGCCCAAGGCACTATGGTGGCAGGCAGGTGGCGGGCAGGACTCTGACTGGCCGCTGCCCCCAGGCTGCTTCCTGAGTGGTTCCCCGCGCACCCCTCCACCATCTGGTGTCACTGCCGGCAGGTCTATCTGCCCATGAGCTACTGCTATGCCACGCGGCTGAGCTGCGCCACGGACGACCCGCTGGTGCAGAGCCTGCGGCAGGTGAGCCTCCCACCGCGGCCTCAGGGCACGCCCCACTCGGCAGACTCCATCGGGGTCCCCACGTGAGCTCTGTAGGCCCATCCTGGGGCAGGGCCGGGGCAGCGGCAGAGGGAGAAGATGAACAGAGGGGCCGTAGGGTCTGTCGCTGAGGTAGTCCTCAGAGCCGTCCCGACTCAGGCCGAGCTGGCCTTTGGGCCCTGCTGTGGTCACCGAAGGGCCATGACCAGGTGAGGTGACCCTGGGGCTGGCGGCTGGGGCGTGTCCTTCCCCGAGGGCACAGAGACACTTATTGCCGGCACGCGTGTCTGCTGCGGGTATCTGGGCACAGGTTCTGTGTTCCCGGCCGTGGCTGAGGCGCCATGTCCCCACAGGAGCTGTACCCAGAGGACTTTGCCAGCATTGACTGGCCAGCACAGAGGAACCGCGTGGCACCCGAGGACATGTACACACCACACAGCTGGCTGCTCCACGTCGTGTTCGGTGGGTGTCCCCGGCTGCACGCTGATCTGTGCGGGGTGGATGCTGGGGATATGGAGGGAGATGGGGCAGCCCCTCAGCCCCATCAGGAGGGACCGGGCCCCGGTCATTTTCTCATCCAGCAAGCCCCCTGCCTGAGTGAGGTCCCACGTGAGGGTGCGGGTGCACGTCTGAGGAGCGCAGTGGTTCTTTCTGAAGGGAGAGGCCAGGAGAGGCTCTGGTCTGCAGGGCGGGGTTCTCTGGCCATTCCAGCCTGTCTCCTCACA